TCTTCTGTCTCCTCGTCATTTGAACCTCCTTCTTCCGTGTCCTCCTCCTCATTTTTACCTCCCTTTTCTGTCTCCTCATCATTTGAACCTCCTGCTTCTGTCTCCTCATCATTTGAACCTCCTTCTTCTTTCTCGTCCTCATCATTTGAACCTCCTGCTTCTGTCTCCTCCTCCTCATTTGGACCTCCTGCTTCTGTCTCCTCATCATCATTTGGACCTCCTGCTTCTGTCTCTTCATCATTTGAACCTCATTCCTCTTTCTCCTCCTCATCATTTGTACCTCCTGCTTCCGTCTCCTCCTCATTTGAACCTCCTGCTTCTGTCTCCTCCTCACCATTTGGACCTCCTTCTTCTTTCTCCTCCTCATCATTTGAACATCCTGCTTCTGTCTCCTCCTCATCATTTTTACCTCCGGCTTCTGTCTCCTCATCATTTGAAACTCTTCCTCACGTCAGCCTGTGTTTGTTTCCCACAGACATCCGTGTGGGCGTCAGTCTCTGGATAAAGAGCTTCAAAACCTCTTTGAGGAATTGAAGAAACAAACAGCTGAAACTAGGAACATCACAAAGAGTCTGGGCATCAGCAGAGGTGTCCGATTAATATTTAAACTGTTTAAAACCATCTGAATTCAGACTAAAAATGAGATAAGAAGCCTTCTTTAATCTGTGTTTTCTTTCAGCTTGAGTTAAAAACAGGCTTTAGGAATTTTTGTCAGTTTGGGGATGAAAACGAAAGTTTTTTGACAGGATGAAAACATGTTTTCAGTAGATTTTTGTATATATCACAGTGTTCTTATCTGGAGGGCAGCTTGGTATTTATTGTTTTGGTCTTCCTCTCCTGCATGAACACACAGAGAGAAATGCCATCCAGAGTCATGAACAATAAGAACAGCATAGAAAATAACCAGGTCAGCTAGCAAAGGGTCCTGGACAGAGTCCACCAAAGCAGATGGAAAAATAACGATTCAAGATTTATCTGGTTAGCGTCACTCAGAGTTGATGGGAAATTATTTGAAACCCTCAATTTTTAGAAGTAGAAAAAGATGTGAAGCCTTTTTTAAACTGTGTTTGTCTTCAGGCTAAAGTAAAAACAAGCTTTAGGAACATTAAATGTCCGATGAGGTTAATGTTTTTTCCTTTTCACCTCCTCCAGTGGATGTTCAGAGTGATGCTGCCGAGTGTTTTGAGAACATCCTGAGAAACGTGAGCGCTCCCGGAGCGTCTCAGGTACAGATTTCACTTCAGATCTCACAGATCCACGACTTAAACGAGATGCTAACAGTCTTTATTCGGTCTCTCTGCAGCTGTTCCAGGGTCAGCTGAGACATATGACCAAATGCCTTAAATGTGGCACTCTGACCAGCTCTGAGGAGCCTTTCTGGAATCTGCCTCTTGAGCTGGTGGCTTCCCGCTCAGATTCCTACTCACATTACAGCGTGGTGAGATGTCTGACACGAATCTGGGATATCTGGGATAAACCCAGACTGGGTCCATCTGGATCTGAGCGGACGGACGTCAGATATGAGTAGCTAAATGTCTTTCAGGTGGACGGCATCGCCGAGTATTTCGGAGTGTCTGAGGTCAGGGGGTCAGACCAGCTGTTCTGTGACCGCTGTGATGCCAAAACCGACGCCAAGATGGTGAGTTCGGACTGATTTTTTCGGCGTCGTGTGAAGTAAGCAGCACGAGGGGAGTTTTTTCCAGGAGAATATCATGCTTTCAGTTTCGGGTTCCTGTCCAGTTTTTGTCATGTCTTCTGTAATAACATCTGCATTTATCATAAGGAGACGATCCAGCTGTTTCTCTCTGATTCTGATGACTCTAAAGGAGCCACTAAAACAGGCTGATGTCACATTTAAAATGATTAAAAACGTCAAAAGTTACAAAATAATCAACACTGAGGGAATCTACTTTTCTAGAGGAAGGAAAATGTGTCTGAAGCTAGTATGGTCTGCATGCTTTCCATATTTTCCCTCTCCAGGACCATCAGTCCTCAATGTTTTTTAAAAGAAACAAAAAAACTAAACAACAGACCCCATTAAAAAAATTACTAAAATTAATATATATATTATATATATATTATTATGAAGGATTATTATATTATTTATTATTATTATTATTTTCTGTGATCAGAGTGAGGTTATTATATTATTAAGGATTATTATTATTATTTTATTATTAAGGATTTAACCCTTTTTCTAATCTGGATGTCCAGAAATTATTCAGGTTAATTATCTTACTTTTTCATGTTCTAATTAACATTTTTTTTGTCTGTAATAGAAATATGAAATAAAGCAACACCCACAAGTTTTGATGCTGATGCTGAAGAGATTCAAGTTTAACTATACGTACATGAGCTATGTGAAAGTAAAGAACAGCGTGGTGATTCCCGACAGTGTGAAGTTACCGGGGGGCTCCGGAGCTCCGGTACGTCTCACTTATTGTTTAGCCAAATATTCCACGCGGGTTTGCTCCCGGGGGCGATTTAAAAAAGGGATTTCCTCTCTTTGCTGCGATCAGAGTGAGGACTATGAGCTGTATGCGTTCGTGGAGCATGTCGGGGAGCTGAGACACGGACACTACACGGCGACTATTAAGAGCCAGAGCGACGGGAAGTGGTACCACTTCAACGACAGCCGGGTCAGATCGGTAAGTCTCTAATTTCCCCGGTGTTAACCCTATAACGCCAAATGTGTCATATTTAATACATACGGTTTCTGACGTCTTTTGGATCTGAGACTTTTTGCATCATTCAGTGGTAAAAGCTTTGCTCAAACCCCTGTTGTACACATTCAGATATAGCTGATAACAGCCAGTAGAAGACTACACCAAAATATATTTTTGACTTATTGCACGCTAATTTGATCAAAATAATTT